ATTCTTCTCCAAAACTACACCATATGTGGGGATGAGGGGGACACATTTTCAGCATAGCTCTTCTCCGTAACTCAGCCCCTTGGCGTTTAAAGAGGCAAACATCACGGTTTTGCAGCATTCATTAGTTAGCGACACCAGTCGGCAACACTGTGAGGCCCCTTCCAAAGTGATTCTTTTCTCAGTGGTCTGGAGAACAGCCCAGTGGTGAGAAACCACTGCACACCAGCCAGTGGGTCCCAGGCCTGGTCACACATCCACTGTCATGACCGAGAGCCCAGTTTCTGGTTCACACAGAAACTGGGCCAGGATTTGTTTTACAAAATACCCATCAAAGTCAGCACTTCAAAAGGCTTGTCTACTGCCCAAAGACCTAGTCCTTTTATACCAAGAATCTTACCCCTGTGGGCCACTTGTTCCCTCGTCTGGTGACTTGGGCAGCTTGGGTGACTTGGGCCGGAGCTGGGCCAACTTTTGGCATCCCACGGATTCTTCTAATTCAAGAAAAAGAAAATGCTATTTGAAACCGTAATTACCTCTCAGGAGGTTTAAACCTGTTAGAGGAGAATTGGAGCAGCCTGAGGCCATGAGATGTGGCCTGGAGCTGTAATCTTGCCTGGCTCTGGGTCAGCCCTCAATACTTTTTTGGTTGAGTGAAGGGAGGCCTGGGAGAGACAGACTTTGAATTACCAGGGCCGAATGGGGGTGAAGGTGAAAAGGAAAGGGCTGCTGCTCTCCGGTACTTGCAGGAATCTCGGGGTTGGGCCTGTTCAGCGAAGGTGGAGCCAGGGTCATTCTCAGCTCTTCCTGCAGGGGCAGCTGCTACGTCGGCCTGCCTTCCACCTGAAACGCAGTGGGAAGGTTCCAGAGCCTGGGTTGCCTGGCTCTCTGGGGAGGTCCTGTCTGTGATTAAATTAATAATAAATGGTCGTTCCGCATTATTCACTAATTATGCCGAACGGGTGTTTTGCTCAATCTGATGATCACTATGGGACTTTTTTGAGGGTCCTGTGGCCGGAGTCAGCGGCTACAAACCGAAAAACCAACCCCTCTGAGGCGGTATCACTACAGAAGTAGATTGCCCAACCTTCCTTCCAAGGAGCGGTTGGTGGGTTTCAATACCCAGCCTTCCGGTTAGCAGTCAAGTGCCTTAGGCACTACGCCACAGCAGTGGCCGGAACCTCCAGAGGGCCTGGAGGGCCCGGGGCTTCTGTGCTGAGGGCTCCATTCCCGAAGCAGACCCGCTGGGGCACCACTGCCTGTCACGGAGCCCTAACAAGTGACTATCGGGGTCCGCCACCCCGGGGCCCAAGTACCCGAGGCTTTTGAGGCGGTTCTGGAGTGGGACCTGGAGAACCGAGAGAGGCGGAGCCCGTGCTCGCCTCCGGCGGCCGCTGGGCTCAAGCCCATCCCGCCGCTGCTCCTCCGCCAGCCCCAGGCTTCGCAAGCAAGGACGCGCCCGGCCGGGTCCCAGTGGGCGCGACCGCTGGTGCGCACAGCCGCTGGGTCGTCGGCGCTGGGGCGGCGCGGAGAGGGGCTGCGGAGACAGGGAGGGACCAGAGGGCGGGGCGCGCCGCTAACCGTGCGGGCTCGCGGGGGACGGCGCGGTGACAAGGGGAAGGGCTGCGGGGGCGGAGAAGGGACAGAGGGGGCGAGGCGGGTTGCAACCCCAGGAGCGCGCGCGTGGCTAGGGGCGCGCGCGGAGCAACGGCTGGGGCGCCGCCAGCCATCTAGGGACAGAAAGGGGCTCCGGTGAGTTGATGCAAGGCCCAAGAATCTGGGAGTCCTTGAGGGGACCGGCAGGGAAAGAGATGTAGGAGACTGTTAGCAGAGTGGAAGGTAGAGCTAGACACTGCGCAAAGGTCTTGGAACGTGGCTGGAGACGCTGAGTGTGAAGGAACAGTCAGGAACCCACATCTGGAGAGGAGGGGGCTGAGGCCGACTTAGGAAGGAGGACACAGAGAGACACACACTTAGGAGTTCAAAGCTGGAAGCCTTCATAATTTTTTCTTTAAAAATAACAAGTTAGAAATACTATGTGATCCAGCAATCACATTACTAGGTATAGATCCTAAAGAAGTGAAAACCAGGACAAGAACAGATATATGCACACCCATGTTCATTGCCGCACAATAACAAAAAGATGGAAACAACCTAGGTGCCCATCAACAGAAGAATGGATAACCCAACTATGGTACGTGCGCACAATGGAATACTGTGCAACACTAAAGAATAATGTAGAATCTGCAAAACACCACATAACGTGGATGAACTTGGAGGACATTATGCTGAGTGGAATAAGTCAATCACAGAAGGACAAATATTGTATTAGTTTACTATCATAAAAAGTCAGGGAAAGGTTTATATACGGAAGGAAACTGTTTGCTGGTTACAGGTGGGAGGGGAAGGGAAGGAACACTTCAAAAATTTAAAAAATTTAAATTAAATTTAAAACGATAGATATGTACATACACAGTGAGACCTGTGAAAGCCGGAAGTTGCTGGACTCCCTTATTTTTCCCATGGTCACAAGTTTCCAGCCTTTGACAGGGGGCACTTCTCTATCCCTCTCTATTAGTGGAAGACATTTGTGTTTTCCTTCTCTGACAGGTTTCTGCCCTCCACGGGTTCTGGCTTTCGCAGGTCTTATGTGTGATGTAATATATGCCAAAGGACACATGGAATATATGTAGACACAAAATATAATGATAAAATTGTGGTTGTCAGTTGCGGGTGACCAGTAGGTAAATTCAACCCAAGGGTTGCTGGTTTGGTTTCGCATCATCTTCACCATCCTTTGTGCTTGAGGCCAGTAGATGTCCCACTTAAGAACCACAACATACCTATGTGTTCTTCTCTATCCTATCGCCCTGCCTCCCCACCCAAGGCGCCCTCTATCCTGCATTTAATGGCGCTCCTGACCTGCAGGGAGCTCTGGTAGCATAGTGCCTAAGGCACTTGACTGCTAACCAGAAGGCTGGTGGTTCAAACCCACCAACCACTCCTCAGAAAGAAAGTTGGGCAATCTGCTTGCGTAGTGATACCGCCTCAGAAACCCAAGAAGGGGTCACTATGAGTCGGATCCGACTCGATGGCACATAACAACAATAACCTGACCTGCATCTCTAAAACAGCTTTTGTAATCACTTATTTGTATCCCCAATACATCATTTTTTGTTTTGTTTTCAGCTTTATCAAAATGGTATCACAGTATATGTTGCCTTCTGCAACTTGCTTCTTTCAAAATTGTTTCTATGATGTGTCTGTGTTGATGGACAAGCCTGTCATTCTTTTTCACTGGTGTAGAATATTCCAGCATGTGAATAAACCACAATTTATAGTCCATGGATAAAGCCATTGTTGTGGTGGTTTGTATTTTGTTTTTCTGTTGGTTGGGCTTTTTTCCCTCCCAATTTGGGGTTGGAAACAATTCGAAATCAAGCCCTGGTGAATGCATGCAAGAGAGTCTATGGGTTCAATACCTGGGAGGGTATGCAAATGTTCAACTTGACAATTGAACACTATGACGGTTTCCCAACTGCTGGTACACTTCACTTCTGCCAGCCAAATGTGAGAGTCCTTGTTAATTTACATCTTCCCAAACACTTAGTACTGTCCCTTTTCAATTCTGCCAAGTCAGTGATATCATATGGTATTTAGTCTTAATTGACATTTCCCTGATCACTAATAAGACTGAGAGCTTCCAAACTATGTATTAGTCATTTAGATTTCCCTTTTGGAATAATGCTTTTCTTCTGCCCATTTTTCTGTTGCTATCTCATTGATTTGTAGGCATCCTTTATATAGTAATACTCACCTGTAGTCAGTCTTGTGCGATTACATGTATTTTCCTCCACTCGGTGGCTTGTCTTTTCACTTTACGATGTGTTCTGATGAAGAGACATTACTAATGTTCACGAAGTAGGGCTTCGCAGTCTATTCTTCTGTGGTTAGTTCTCTGTGTCTTTATTCATAAAGTCCTTCCTTGCCCTGAAGTCAGAAAAATAATCTATATTTTATTGTAAAAATTACATCTACCTAGATTG